GTTTTGTCAAGTGGAGGGGCTGATTTGCTCTACTTTTAGGTAGAGGGGCTGATGTGCCACAACAATGGATGTAGAGGGGCTGAATTGCACCTTCTGCCTATTTATTATATATGTTGGGATAGTGGTCCAACACATTGCAAAAAGTCCAAAGGCCCAAATCCACACCAAACACAAGAAAGAAGCAATAATTGACTTTCATATAAATCAATCCATTGCAATAGAACTAGGCCTTCAGGACAATGATTCATCCCAAATCTTAATATTTGAATTTAATTAATTGAGAATTCAATTTTTATTAATTATTTGAAAATTTTTCTCTTCTCTCGTAATTCCCTATGTTCATAAAAAAGGAAAATCCATTGCAACAAAGTTTATATTAGAAACTCAGAGAGAATAAAGATTGTTATTGAAAAAAAATTTTTAAAAAGGTTGAAGGCAAATGGTTACACAAATTTTAGGTCCATAAAGTTTGACTAGAAAGATTGAGATTGTAAATTTATAATATTAAATTGGTTTGATCTTAAATTGTAAATGACTTTACATATAAATAGTAATGCTGTGATTATAATGCAATGTAAAATTAAAAATTTACAATTATGATAATGGAAATAATTAAAAATTAATATTTTTATTTAAAAATTGATAAAATTAACATTTTAAAATAAAAAAGTATAAAGTTGACATTCTTAATTACACATTTTCTTTATAACGTGGTATTAAATGAATGTGATGTATAATTAAATTAACTGTTACATACAATATCTTGAGTAGATTTACAAGTAAAAAAAAAGTTAATTATATAAAAACATATTTTGCTTTAAAGTTGTAATACCACATGACCTTATAACTATATTATTTTAATTTTACAAACATGCATTATGGATCTAAAACTTTTTGATTTATCACCATTAATTTTGTTACAGTCACCAAAGTCGTTAAATTTTTATTTTAATTTAACAATTAAAAATAACTAATAATTGATAAAATAATTAATATTTATTATTTAATAGATTGAAATTAATTTATAATCAAATATTTTTAAATATCAAAATATCATTACTAATTCTTTAAAAAAATAATAAATTTATAAAATTATAAATAAAATTGATGACTTTAATAAGATCAATAGTGACTTTAACAAAATCAACAGTGATTATGACCTCATTATCTCAAGTGGCGTTATGACTTTGAATCATGCCATCCAGTGGCAGAACCAGGAATTTTAACAAGGAGGGTCGGCCTTTCAAATCTTAAAATAATACATTATAATTTTAAAATTTTATTTTTATATCATATATTAAAATAATACTTGACGAGTTTTCGTATCACCAAATCTATTTATAATAAAGTTTACACTAAATAACTGAATTTTTTTCTTTTCAATATAAACAATTAAAGAGTTTAAAAGAAATCTATCCTCTATTTTGCTATAAAGTCTTGTTTTTATAATTTTCATGACATAAAATACTCTTTTTGTTGTTGCTATAGAAACTGGAAGAGTAAATACCAAAGTAATTAACTTATAAATGAGACTATATACCTCTAATTTTCCTGTCTCCACAAGTCATTGACATAACTAAAAAATACGGCAACATCCTATCTTTTAACCCTACCACTTTCTACAAGTAAACAATTTATTTTCCCTTTTTACAAGTTAATTACACTTTATATTAGTTTATCTTCCTTTTATACTAATTTATCTTCTTATTGCTTTTCTCTACATGACTATATTTAAGGTTTTTCCTTTTATTGAGTTAATATATGTTCCCTTTATGGATTTGTGCTTTCTTTTTTTTTTACTTCAATCCAATTCTATTCCATATAACTTCAATATAACTTTAATATTATCATAAAATTCAATTTTATTTGTAATCTTAACAACTTTAAATCATAAAATAAAATTATACAATTTTTTGTGATAACAAAAAATTAATAAGTTTCATTACCTAAATATTACTTCCTCTGCACTAGAATAATAGATTTTTTGTTATATCTTCAAATGAAGGATTTGAAAACAATTTTTATCTTTACCTATTTTATATTTAAAAAATAACTAAGAATAAATATCTATTTCAATCAGAAGATAAATAATTAAAGTTAAGATATAATTATAGGGTTAAAGTAGAAAAAAATTATTTATCTTCCTTAAAATTAAAAAAAAAAAACTATTATTTTGGGATAAATTTTAAATAAAAAATATCAATTATTCTAGGATAGAAAGAGTATACTAATTTTTTTTTAAAAATATATATCTACTAACAAGTATAAGACAAAATTTTAAAATAAAATAAAATAAAATAAACTTACAAAACTTAAAAGTTGAAACCCAATATAACAATATATGATTCATATAAAAAGAGCGAGTATTGTTTTAGTTTTCACCAAGAAGTTAGTGATCCCTTTGGTTTCAAGCTTTCAATGACAAGAGAAGTGTTGCAGTTGTTTGCGTCGAGCCTTTGGTGGAGTCTCTTTTTTTTATTTTTGAAGTTTTTGGGTTGAGATTGATTGGTTGAAGGAGATTGACACTGAGAGTCTCATATGAGACAGTAGAAGTGGATATTAGAGAAATGACGTACAAGACACAAAAACCTATTTTTCTTCTTTTTTTTCTTTCTTTTTGTACAAAATTTAGTTGTGAGCCTTGAGATGGGTGGATTTTAAATAATAACAAATAGTTAAATTATTAAAGTGGATAATGGATTATATAAATTATATTTGGGCTCTTAAAACAGCCCATTATTATTGGATTTTTTTTATTTTATGTATGTTAACAATTAAAAATATAATAGTAAAAAATTTAATAATAATAATTAATAAATTAATTATATATAATTTTTTTTTTCAAATCCCATGGTGGGCCACCGCCCACTGATATACATATGGCTCTGCCCTGATGCCACCCTTAATGGAAGGACGAAACACTAAAATTAATCCCCTGAAAATAGTGCCATGGGTATCGATTGGTATATATTTTAATTTAATATATTGTATAATATATTTTT